ATCAGAGAGGTAAAAGGGGGCTGGAGAAGACAGCTCTTGTAAAGTCATCGAAAGGACTTGGCTTTTACTTCTAGGAAGACTGGAAAGTTTTGAACAGAAGAGTAGTAGGCTCTGATTTGTTTTAAAAAGAATACCAGCTGCTCTGGTATGTATAGACTAGGAATTTTTTTTTTTAAAGGGAGCAAGAATAAAGTAGAGAAATTAGTTCAGAAAACTTTAGAGCAGTCTTGGACCAGACATGATTGTGGGATCATGTTATAACAGTAAAGGCATTAGAAACTAGTAAATTATGAAACTATTTTGAAGATAGGAACGAACAATAGGCATTTCCTGATACAGCATAATTTAAAAGCATGAAAAATTTAAATTTTACTCCTTATTAATGAATGCAACAATTTTGTGAAAAGGTACAAAAGTTTTATTTAAATATTATTGCTTATAAATATATATTTTAAATTGGCACTTAGTAATGTACATATTTATGGGGTGCAGAGTGACTTTCAGTATGTGTATATAATAGGTAATGAATGATCAAATCAAGGTAGTTGGCACATCTATCACCCCAGGTGTGTCTTTGTGTTGGGAACATCCAAAATCCTCTCTACCAGCTATTTTGAAATATTTAATCAGTTGTTGATGACTGTGGATATCCTGATGTTCTATAGAACGTTAGATGTTATTCCTCTGATCCAGTTGCATCCCTGTACCGACAGTCAATGCTCTCTCCATTCTTCCCTCCCCCCCATATTCTTCTCAGACTCTGGAAACTAGTATTCTGTCTCTAAAAATGTTTTCATTTAAATTCTGAATTACTCAGAATCTATTAATTTTTTTCAGGTTCCCTGTGTGACTTTTAAAAATTTGCAAAAAGCCACTTCATGTTAATAAAATTCCATTAAAAGGAGTATGTGATGTTTCAATAACCTAGTAAACTACCTTAGAAAACTTAGTTCTGGAAATAGCCTCTTTCTGACAGACAGTTGTAGGACAGTTTCACAATATGCATTGTCATTAACTTCTGTAAAAATAATTGAAATATTTCCTTGAAATAAAACATGTTTCTAAGATAATTTTAAAGGCAAAATGAGAGAATGCATTACATATTATTACAAGAACTAAGATTCGGCAGGAAGAGGCTTTAATCCTAACCTTATAATTTCACAAAGGTCGTTGCTGCTTTTGTCTTGGTTTCTTCATTAATAGAAATAACCATTTCATATTGTGTATGAAAGTGAAGTTACATCAGAAATTGAGACGATATGTATGAGTGGTGCAGACATTATTACTAATCATTTGAAAGAAATTTTCAAATTAACCCACGTATACTTAAAGATAGTGACTGTTAGTTTATTAGCGGGAATATAACAAAACTAGGGATTTTTGGTTTTAGCATTGGGGAAAAAAAACTACCATGGTTAGTTACTGGAGTACAGTTTTGATCTGGATGTTAGAGGCCAATGGATAATTGTATGTATGTATATATGAGGTGTTCTGAGGTCTGAAATGAAATCTCCTTATAACCTGTTTGGGCCAACTTCTTGAAATATAGTTTTCTACATCTTGAAGTAGTAATTGTATACTCACCTAAATTTAGCAAAATCCTTTTGAGTGCAAAGTGACATTTTTTTTTCTTAGTGTAGGGTTCCTCAAACTTTCTTTTTTTAAAAAATTGAAAACATTTTTTTCAAACTAAAGTTTCTGAGTTAAACTTGTAAATCAGATAACGAATATACTGCTCTGGTGAGAGTTAAGAGGAAAGCGCAACTATTTGCCCAGCATCCTTTCCCACCTCTAAGGTGAAAGAATTTTTCCATCATAGTTTAAAACTCATTCTTTAGTGACTCAGGTCATAAACTCTGGAGCTGACTTCAAAATACTTGCAGGTATTTTGCCCATAGCATTGCTACAAAGATGGACTTGAATGTTCTTTTGCTGTATCTAATTGGCAGTCTACTGTGAATTTGTTTAAAAATCATAAAAGTCATTGGAAACTTTCTTATTTTTAACTTGAACTTTAATATTCACGATTCAGACATTGCCATTGTCAGATTAATTAGGGTGTGTTGAGCTTTCGTATTAAAATTTAACCTCAATGTAATACGAGCTTTACTTGTCTTTTAGATAAAAAGCCTTCTAGTTTTCAGTGACTGATGACAGGGTGATGATTTACGCCTCTACTCTTCTTCACTTAATTTTAAGATCCTTTTTTTTTTTCTGAAACTTTGAAAATACATTTTATGTTAGTTAATATTTTCACTTCTACTTTTGCCTTTTTATATTTAGCTATAGACTGTATCTCAGTATTTTGTGGTTTATACTGTAGGAGAACAGAAGTGAGTGACTTGTGGTATGGACATTGAACCCAAGGCCTCACACCCAGGACCTCATACACAGTAGACAAATGCTGTAGCATTCCCAGCTGCAAGTCTTAAACATGTAGTGAGAAATAATATTCAGAATTATATTGCATTTGGATAAGAATATAATAAATATTAGTATGTGATTGTTATGGCAAAAGTTGTTTTAGTTGAAAATTTTCTGTAATCCTTAAGTCCTTACTACATCGTATTGTTAACTTTATTTCTTATTTTTTGGGGGAGACAGGGTTTCACTGTGTAGCACAGGCTGACCTTGAACTCTGTTTTCCTGCCTCAGCCTCGCAAGTGCTGGAATTACTGGGAGTATGTCACCTGGTTTGGCTTCTATTGCTGTTTTTCTATTAACTAGTCTGTATCTCTTAAACTGGAAGGCAAAGGCCAGTATTAAGTATCTTTGAATTACTCTTAGTTTTCAAAATACATACTTGTTTATATACTGTTTAAAGTAAAACATTTCCCCAAGAAATAAATACAGTTTCTTACATATTTTAAAGTACACCATCTGCAGATTTTGTTTTCCAAGTAAAAAAGAGTAGATCTTTTATTCTATTGTGTTTCCAATTTTTTCCCTTAATTGTTAGCTGGGAGTCGTGCTATTTTTCATAAACTAATGTCTTTATCCAGTTAATGTACTATGCTTTGTTTTCTGTTAATATCCATAAAAAATGTAGTTTAATTGTTTTCTTTTACACATTTTGCGTAAAGAATGTTAAACTTGGTGCTGGGTACAAATATTCAGGTTAAGAGTTTTAAAACTTGGGGTTAAAATTTTTATAGAATTGGATGTAACTGCCTTAGTTTCCTTTACTTGTTATTGTATATACTGCTCTCACATTAATATTTGATTACATCATTTTTCTTAAGTCTTAGTTTTAAGAATCAAATTTAAGAAATGGAGCCAGTATTTTTTAGGCCCCTTTTGTTTGTTAAGCATGTCACATTTAAAAAAACGTTTTTGTTCTTACATTCGTGTCAGTGTGCACCTCTTTTATAGATGAGGAAACCATGTTTTAAGAGGTTTAGCACTTCACTGTGGTCATCAACTAATAAATGACAGGAGTCAGATCTTGAAATTGTGTTTACTCAGTTTCAACTTGGTTGCTTCAGTATAGTAATATTTACTTTCAAGTGAACCTAATGCACATTTTTTTTGACTCTCAGATGGGTAATTGTTAAAATTTAGTGGAGGCTGATGGAATAAACTTCTAGAATAAAAATAAATCTGCAATTTAAAAAGTTATGATTTTGTCAGAAATATTAGTCAAGAATTTAAATTATAAGAACAATTTCTCTACCATTAGTACAGCAGGTGTGCACTATAGTTGAAATAGTTGTTTTCTGAACTGGAGGTGTGGCTCAGGTGGTAGAACATGTGCTTCACAAATGCAAAGTTCGGATTTCAAACCCTAGTTCCACCCTCCCCCAAAAAAAGTAAAAGAAAGAAATGTTTCCTTGCAGTTGAGGTCAGTGGAGAAACATGCTATTTGGAGGGAGATGGCTAGTGTGGTCTATTCTTAAATTTTTGGATTTTTAAAAGATGTTCTCTATATTCTTTATCTTGTCTGGATTGGGAATAATTTTCATAGATGTTGTTGTGCATTACTTGGTTTTTCCCTCATCTTGTGAAATTTTGAGGTAGAAATGATGTATTAATTTTAATTTAGCCTCAAAAGAGTTTGAAAAAAATTAAATAAAAACCCTTTAAAACATTTTAATATATAGTCAGAATTAAGTCTCATGTAATTCTTGAAAGTTATTTAATGCTCCTAGTATATTAAATTCTTTTCTTTTTTTTTTTTTTTTCTTTCTGTTTTGAGTCAGTTTCACTATATATATAGTTCAGCCTGGTTGAAACTCACTATGTAGCCCAGGATGACCTTGAACTTGTGATCCTCATGCTGGGATTCAGATGTGTTTCACCATACCAGGCTCAATAATTCTAAAAGATTGTCTCAAATATATATTCTTAAAATTATTTAGCTTGATTTCTACTCAAAATATGGTTCTTGAGCTGTAACTACTCCAAGAGGAAATAAATTCAGAAGTGAAGAGAATTTAAAAACAACTTGATAATGATTTATGTGTCTTGAATCTTTCCTTTCCATAAAGTTTGTAAATTTTACATGAGTGTTGAAACTTATTACAAAAGTTTTTTGAAATTCTAAAATCTTTTAACAGGTACAAGACCTGGGTTTGATCCCTGGCACAATATTAAAAAAAAAAAATTGAATGAAAGTTGTAAGGAGTGGTAAAGCAATCAAGATATTTTAGTTATTATCAAAATAGCCTCAAAGAAGGCAGGAAAATTAAGAGAGTGGAAAGGATTAGTTGTTCTTCAAGCCCATAGGAAGGTGTAATTAGAGGCAAAATATATATTTGGTTAATACCAGTTCGTTTTAAATTTTGAACATTACATATAGATTTTGTATTTAATGATTTTATTGTTAGATTTGCCCTAAATATCAAGGATATCCTATTTTTATAACAGTAAGTTACAAATTTTATGTGATTTCTTAAAATGCTTGTGAAATTATTAGAATTATGAATTTTCATGTTGCTTTGTTATATCTTCACTATGTGTAATTCATGATTAAGGTTTGTTCTTTTTTCCTTCTTTTCTAGGAAGATGATCCATGCGATCTTGAAGACCTTTCTGTGGAAATGAGGGAAATACAAAGAACCAAATATAATTCTGAAATTCAGGATCTGTATTTTGAGATGATTTTATTTTCAGAATGAAAAGTATATATGGTTACCTTTATGAATGTAGAGACATGAGAAGAGAGTTATGATGGCAAAAAATAAAGAGCCTCGTCCCCCATCCTATACCATCAGTGTAGTTGGACTCTCTGGGACTGAAAAAGACAAAGGTAACTGTGGAGTTGGAAAGTCTTGTTTGTGCAATAGATTTGTACGCTCAAAAGCAGATGAATATTATCCAGAGCATACTTCTGTGCTTAGCACCATTGACTTTGGAGGACGAGTAGTAAACAATGATCACTTTCTATACTGGGGTGACATAACACAAAATGGTGAAGATGGAGTAGAATGCAAAATTCACGTCATTGAACAAACAGAGTTCATTGATGACCAGACTTTCTTGCCTCATCGGAGTACGAATTTGCAACCGTATATAAAACGTGCAGCTGCCTCTAAATTACAGTCAGCAGAAAAACTAATGTACATTTGCACTGATCAACTAGGCTTGGAGCAAGACTTTGAGCAGAAGCAAATGCCTGAAGGGAAGCTCAATGTAGATGGATTTTTATTGTGCATTGATGTAAGTCAGGGATGTAATAGGAAATTTGATGATCAGCTTAAATTTGTGAATAACCTTTTTGTCCAGCTATCAAAATCAAAAAAACCTGTAATAATAGCAGCAACTAAATGTGATGAATGTGTGGATCATTATCTTAGAGAAGTTCAGGCATTTGCTTCAAACAAAAAGAATCTTCTTGTAGTGGAAACATCAGCACGATTTAATGTCAACATTGAGACATGTTTCACTGCACTGGTACAAATGTTGGATAAAACTCGTGGCAAGCCTAAAATTATTCCCTATCTGGATGCTTATAAAACACAGAGACAACTTGTTGTCACAGCAACAGATAAGTTTGAAAAACTAGTGCAGACTGTGAGAGATTATCATGCAACTTGGAAAACTGTTAGTAATAAATTAAAAAATCATCCTGATTATGAAGAATACATCAACTTAGAGGGAACAAGAAAGGCCAAAAATACATTCTCAAAACATATAGAACAACTTAAACAGGAACATATAAGAAAACGGAGAGAAGAATATATAAGTACTTTACCAAGAGCTTTTAATACTCTTTTGCCAAATCTAGAGGAGATTGAACATTTGAATTGGTCGGAAGCTTTGAAGTTAATGGAGAAGAGAACAGATTTCCAGTTATGTTTTGTGGTGCTAGAAAAAACACCTTGGGATGAGACTGACCACATAGACAAAATTAATGATAGACGGATTCCATTTGACCTCCTGAGCACTTTAGAAGCTGAAAAGGTCTATCAGAACCATGTACAACATCTAATATCAGAGAAAAGGAGAATAGAAATGAAGGAAAAATTCAAAAAAACGTTGGAAAAAATTCAGTTCATTTCACCTGGGCAGCCATGGGAGGAAGTTATGTGCTTTGTTATGGAAGATGAAGCCTTCAAGTACATTACCGAGACGGATAGCAAAGAGGTATATGGTAGGCATCAGCGAGAGATAGTTGAAAAAGCCAAAGAAGAGTTTCAGGAAATGCTTTTTGAACATTCTGAGCTTTTTTATGATTTAGATCTTAATGCAACACCAAGTTCAGATAAGATGAGTGAAATTCATACAGTTCTGAGTGAAGAACCTAGATACAAAGCTTTACAGAAACTTGCACCTGATAGGGAATCTCTTCTACTTAAGCATATAGGATTTGTTTATCATCCCACTAAAGAAACATGCCTTAGTGGCCAAAATTGTACCGACATTAAAGTGGAGCACTTACTTGCCAGTAGTCTTTTGCAATTGGATCATGGCCGCTTACGGTTGTATCATGATAGTACCAATATAGATAAAGTTAACCTATTCATTTTAGGGAAAGATGGCCTTGCCCAAGAACTAGCAAATGAGATAAAGGACGCAATCCACTGATGATGAGTATGCCTTAGATGGGAAAATATATGAACTTGATCTTCGACCAGTTGATGCCAAATCGCCTTACATTTCGAGTCAATTATGGACTGCTGCCTTTAAGCCACATGGGTGCTTCTGTGTATTTAATTCCATTGAGTCACTGAGTTTTATTGGAGAATTTATTGGAAAAATAAGGACAGAAGCTTCTCAGATCAGAAAAGATACATACATGGCTAATCTTCCATTTACATTAATTCTGGCTAACCAGAGAGATTCCATTAGTAAGAACCTACCAATTCTCAGGCACCAAGGGCAGCAGTTGGCAAACAAATTACAGTGCCCTTTTGTAGATGTACCTGCTGGTACTTACCCTCGTAAATTTAATGAATCCCAAATAAAGCAAGCTCTAAGAGGAGTACTGGAATCGGTTAAACACAATTTAGATGTGGTGAGCCCTGTTCCTGCCAATAAGGATTTATCAGAAGCTGACTTGAGAATTGTCATGTGTGCCATGTGTGGTGATCCATTTAGTGTGGATCTTATTCTTTCACCCTTCCTTGATTCTCACTCTTGCAGTGCTGCTCAAGCTGGACAGAATAATTCCCTAATGCTTGACAAAATTATTGGTGAAAAAAGGAGGCGAATACAGATCACAATATTATCATACCACTCTTCAATTGGAGTAAGGAAAGATGAACTGGTTCATGGGTATATATTAGTTTATTCTGCAAAACGGAAAGCATCAATGGGAATGCTTCGAGCATTTCTGTCAGAAGTTCAAGACACTATTCCTGTACAACTGGTGGCAGTTACTGACAGCCAAGCAGATTTTTTTGAAAATGAGGCCATCAAGGAATTAATGACTGAAGGAGAACATATTGCAACGGAGATCACTGCTAAATTTACAGCATTGTATTCTTTATCTCAGTATCATCGGCAAACTGAAGTGTTTACTCTGTTTTTCAGTGACGTTCTAGAGAAAAAAAATATGATAGAAAATTCATATTTGTCTGACAATACAAGGGAATCAACCCATCAAAGTGAAGATGTTTTTCTACCATCTCCTAGAGACTGTTTTCCCTATAACAACTATCCGGATTCAGATGATGACACAGAAGCCCCACCTCCCTATAGTCCAATTGGGGATGATGTACAGTTGCTTCCAACACCTAGTGACCGTTCTAGATACAGATTAGATTTGGAAGGTAATGAATATCCTGTTCATAGTACCCCAAACTGTCATGATCATGAACGCAACCATAAAGTGCCTCCACCTATTAAACCTAAACCAGTTGTACCTAAGACAAATGTGAAAAAACTGGATCCAAACCTTTTAAAAACAATTGAAGCTGGTATTGGTAAAAATCCAAGAAAACAGACTTCCCGGGTACCTTTGGCACATCCTGAAGATATGGATTCTTCAGATAACTATGCTGAACCCATTGACACAGTTTTCAAACAGAAGGGCTATTCTGATGAGATTTATGTTGTACCAGATGATAGTCAGAATCGAATTATTAAAATTCGAAACTCATTTGTAAATAACACCCAAGGAGATGAAGAAAATGGATTTTCTGATAAAACCTCAAAAGGTCATGGGGAACGGAGGCCTTCAAAATATAAGTACAAATCTAAAACATTGTTTAGTAAAGCCAAGTCATACTACAGAAGAACACATTCAGATGCAAGTGATGATGAAGCTTTTACTACCTCTAAGACAAAAAGAAAAGGAAGACATCGTGGAAGTGAAGAAGATCCACTACTTTCTCCTGTTGAAACTTGGAAAGGTGGTATTGATAACCCTGCTATCACTTCTGATCAGGAGGTAGATGATAAGAAGATGAAGAAGAAAACCCATAAAGTTAAAGAAGATAAAAAGGTGAGTTCTACTTATGGTTAGTTGGGTTTACAAAGATGCTTACTTTTTCCTTTTAAAAAAATAATATTTTAAGGTAATAAATTTCACCTCAGTAGGATCTTGGGACTGTCTTATTTCATAAATATAATTAGTACCTCTTTTTGGTTATCTCTATTTTTGGGGGGGGCAAATTATTTTTTGTGATTTTAATGCATTTTATTTATACTTTACTTGGGGTGGAAGTTTGACTTAATACTCTTCAGCATAAAAATGTTAGATGAATGCTTATTCTTTTGTCAGAAACCCAGATATGAAGTGGTTTGTTTTTTTTTCCCTCTATAATCCTATTTGTGTCTTTCCTTTCTTACCTACCAGTTTTGCAGTATTAGTTTGCACCTGTTTCACTTAGGGATACTGATAATTTGATACACTGTAACAATTTTACAGTGAAATTTGAATGTGTCCACCAGTTGATAATTTAAATGGTGTGAAGTTTTGTTTAGAAGTACAAAAGGTAATAGGGTTTTTAAAAAATAGTCTCTGGTATCTTAGATGCACCAAATACAGTAATATGTCTTTAATGTGTGTTATTTGTTACATACCTCTCCGCTTGGTGTCATTCTTTTCCTTACTTGCACTAATGTGTATCATACTTTTAATTTGCTTTCAGTTGATTAGATTCACATTTAGATGTGTTTTCAGGATTGCCTTGTACTTTTATGTAACGTTGCTTTGATACTAGATAAATGCTTTATATTTTTGAATTCTAAGAGCACTGGAATAATTATTTTGCATAAGCTATTAGATCTGTAAGTAATTTTAAAATCTGGTGTCACACAAATGTTTGACTTTTGGACTGTGGTCTTCAAAAAATTAACATAGGTTAGATGCAACTTCATAGATACAGTTTTGCATAAAACTTTAAATATCCACAGTGAAATGATTTAAGTAGTCTTATTATCTATCCATGGCATTTTTCTTTTAAGCCTTAGAGAATGACTGGAGCATGCGGTACACCTTAGCTTGCCTAAAAAGTTTCTTTTCCCCCTTGTGGTTCTAGGGATCAAACCCAGGGCCTTGGGCATGCTAGGCAAGTGCTCTAAACATTGAGCTGTATCCCTAATCTTGTAACAGTTCTTTTTATAGTGTAAACTGGACTTGACAATTGAACTTATATCTTAAGAACCTGTTGAAGGATATAAAAATTTGAAGACTTATATCCCTTAAAGAGCTAAAATGTTAGTCTGGGAGACTATATCCCTGGGCTTGGGGCAGGGTTTGGAAAGTACTGTTGGAACAATTAAAGAAACATGGTTAAGGTCTTAAGATGGTTAAGAGCACATGGTCTAGAGGACAGCCTTCTGAAGTTTGAATGCAGGCTCAGCTACTTACAACTTAAATAACTATACAACGTCTCTGCACCTCCATCCAGGAAAACAGAGGTAATCAAACTTCGTAGGGCTCCTCTGAAAAATAAGTTAATACTTATTTAGAAGAATGCCTGGAGCATGCTAAGTTTCTTGAACAAAAAATAATTATAATATTTTGTGATAGTATAGCTTGAATATAAATATTTAGGGGAATATGGTGGAAGAGATTGCTGTAGAGTACGATGTTAGTTTCACAAAATTTGATGAAAAACGTAAATCATTGGTTTCTGGTATTTCTGTTGATTTTTAAGAAAGGACTTTTTAGGTGGAGAAAAACAGTTGTACAGATGCATAAAACTGACTAAGTGAAGTATGATAATGAAGCTATCCTAATTATGTGGTACTGAAATCATTACATTTATAAGGATCTTTACTAAACTGAAGAGATATTAAGAGTTAAAAAATTAGGCAGATCCTGAGCCATAAAGAATGCTATGTTATAATTCATATTGCAGTGGGGGAATAAATTAGTATCACACAGTCTAGTTAGGTGGTAGATATAAATATTCAGTTATAAAGTGATAGAGGTTCAGAGGCCACATAAGGAATCTTATATAAAACTAAAAGCTGATTCTTAGAAAAGACTAGAAAAACAGACAAACCCAGCATGATTGATGAGAAAATAAGAGAAGACATAAATCCAGAATAAAAGAGAAGGTATTTAGATAGGTCAGTCACATTAAAAAGATAATAGAGAATATTGTCTAATTTTTGCCAACAGATTTGAAAATTTAAGCAAAATAAACTTCTAGAAAAATATAACTTGCCTAAATAAGAAGTCTTGAATAATCCTATAACTATTAAATTGTGAAATAGCAGTTAAATTTTCTCACCAAGGAAATATCAGGCCCAGATAATTTTGCTGGAAAATTTTCAAGAAGCAGGTCATTCTGATGTTATACAAATTGTTCCAAAGAGTAGAAAGCTAAGAAATACATTCTTCAGTTTATTCTCTTAAGTCAACTATCGTTAGTTTTATAACTAGGCATTAATGGTATTAGAAAGGAAAAAACATATATACCTATTTTACTCATAGTTATGTGTGTAAAATTCAGGCCTGATCACCTTTAACTGTAAATTTTGAAGTCTGATCACCTTTGAAAACTAAGGTTTTTTCACAACTTGGCAGCAAAGCCTTTTTTGACCTGTTCTCATTTGTGACAGTTCTCATTTGTGACAAAACTTGACTTAAACAGATGTGAGCTGCTTATAATTGTTTGCCATATGTAGAGTGAATATACAGTTTGTTTGGAACATAGTAATATGTTTAAGTATGGGGTACTAATACTCAATTTGCTGGGGCTATTATATAATATGCAGTTTTTGCTTCATATATTATTGCCAGCGAATAAAAATGTTTGCATTCTGAAGCATATCTTGTTCCAAGGGCTGTTTTGAACCTATAAGTAGCCAAAAACATCCAGTATATAAAAGGAAAATCTTAACCAATTTAGGTTTATAACCGCATGTGAATAAGATCTCTTAATGTTAGAAAATTGCATGTAGTTTACTCAGTAAGCACATTAAATGTGAAAAAATATGATAGCAAAAAAGCAGTTGGTAAAATTAATAAATTTATGAGAAAATTACTAAATTGGGAATAAATGAGAACTTGAAAAATATGTCTATAAGTACACAAAATCTAATAAACATCTGTCATCTAAATAGGGAAGTCTTTTCCCTTTTCAATCAAGAATAAAACAGATTCACACTGTTAACCACATCTATTTATTATTGTATGAAGGTCTTAGTCAAAACAGTAAGATAATAAAATAAAAACATGCATGTTGGAATGGAGGAAACAATTATTATTGACTCATAATATGACTGTCATCATAAAAGCCAAAAAGGATCTATAGATAAATTATTACTAAATATTAATGAAGGATTAGCAGAGTAGCTTGATCAGTAAGTAAAAGCAGTGGCATCTCTGTCAGCAACAAATAGCTAGAAAAAGTAATTAGGAAAGACACTATTTACAGAAGCATGACAAGTTGTCAAGTTCTTAGGAATAATTATAATGTAAACTTCTGTGCAAAAAAGATTTGATGATACTTTGCACATGGGGATGAGGATAATGAATAAGATGGGGGAAAAAACCTCCAAAATTTCTAGTTTTTATCAGTGATGGTACTGTTCCTAAAATAGAGCATTAGAAACTTTCCAGGTTTGACGTTGGCGAGTAGAAATTACAACTGGTATTTGAATTCAAGTGGAGATGTGAAGTAGGCAGTTAGAAGTTCTTAGGAGAGGTCTGAGTTGAAGATACATATTTAGTAGACAATGAAATAGAGACAGTAATAGATGAAATATCCCCTGGGAGTGAATATAGATATTTGCCTAACACATACCTTTGGCAGTGCTGAATGACCAACTAACACATGATCCTTAAGTAAGCAGACAGTAGGGGTATGGCTTAGTGGCGGAGCATTTGCCTAGCATGGAGAGGCCCTAAGTTCAATTCCCAGCCCTACAAAAAAAATAAAGAAATAAACTATTAGCCTTTCTTACTTCACCCATAAATTAGAGGTTACTTTTACTATTTACCTTGGAATTGTGATAAAAATTGTCAAGTACTTGGCATATAACAATGCTCATACTTGAAATATCCCAGTGTACTCTACCTGTTTTTCTGAATAATCATTTGTCCTATTTGCTTGAGTACTTTTCTGGCACACTTTTAAATACTTCTATGACTTTTTATTGTGAGTTTCTGTACTTCCCTTGAGATCATTTTGCTTACCTTGATTCTTTGATTTCAGAATGGAAGTAATCTTTTCCAGATTCCTTAACACTTGGACAATCGTAATTTTGGGGCATTACAGACATCTAAGACAGGCAAACTGAATGTAGTTGCCATTCCTGCCAGGGAAGGATTCTTATGCTTAGCTGTTTTTTGTTTTATACTCCAAAATAGTTAATATTGTTACTTATGGAAACAGACTTCTAAGACATTCTTGATTGCAACCAGCAGTGACAATTATTTTGTTAAGTTATAACTTATTATATGTAAATATTTCTACATAACTGAAATGAAATTTCACAATACCTAGCTTTATTATGAAAATTATTTTGATTTCTGTCTGTGACCTACTGAATTGATTTTATAACCTGCTAGTGTTTGAAAAGCAGTGCTCTAAGTGAATGAAACTGAATGAGAAAATTTGTTATGTCAATAAAATGGACATTTTAAAACTGTTCAGTGAAGGGAGGAGGGGTACACCTATGTTTAAACTGTTTTTCTTCTTCAGTATCTATTTCAGTGTTGTCAGTTTGATTCAGCTAAAAAATAAAATAGTAAAATACTTTGAGTTTTATGGTACATTAGGCTGAGCTAGTATTTTTGATGATTTTTCATTTGTAACTTTTTTCCAGATTGCTTTCCTATCTTTTTTCTAGGGCTTGAATCTTTTCTTCTTTTTTATATTAGCAATTATCAAATCCTATCTTGTTCTTTAATGTTCCTTCTAGTCCATGTTCTTTTCTTTGTTACCTAAATTCACTATCAGGCAGTGTCTTAAAAGATTTCCATTTTAGCTAGAGTTTGATTCTGTTTGGAGGAAGACTACCAACATAGGTATGTTGTCTTTA